GAGAAGGAGAGGGAGTGGAAGTTGGAGCGGAGAACGAGGAGGTATCAGTTCAAATGAAGAAAAGTTGAGGAAGAAATGAAAAAAAAGAGGAGGAGGAGGAGAAAGAAGAAGAACTAAATAAGAAATTCAACTTACGGTAATATGGGTATTTGAATTTTAAATTGTACAGGAATTAAGGATGTATTTTAAGGTATTGCAAATAGAATATTTTTTTCATTAATATTAATTTGCATATTTTCAGGTGCAAAGAATTGTAGTCCTTATAATGTTTGGCATGGCATTAAATTACTTAATATTTATTAAATATATATGAGTTCAATCAAAGTTTAAGATTTAAATATCACAATAAATTTTTATAAATTGTGTGGAGTCACTTAATTTGATTCTAGTCAATTAAATTAAGGGCTCGCTTTATTTTTTAATTTTAAATCATAGCGTTTTAATCAACTTTCGAATGAATTAATTTCTTCACATTTTGAACATATTGAGCAAATATCCTATGGTAAGGATTCACAAAAATATTCTTTGTTGCTCAACGTCAATTTAAAACTTTTTGTTTTTAAAATAAAAAAAAAAAATTCAACTTGTAAAGGTAACAGTAATAATATCTATTGACTTTTAGATGCAACTTAAATTTATTACTGTATTAGAGAGGGCGGTACACACCCAGAAAAACTTGTTTATTTTAGGAATAATTTAAGTAGAACTTGTGATGATGACTTTTCTTTTTTTTTTTTTGAAAAGTAAAGAAAACAAATATTTTTTTACCTTTTGAAATTTTGAATTTTTATTGCTCTTTTTGCTACTGTTCTTTTTCGGTTTTACTTTTGACTACAGGAGCGTTTTAAATTTTTAATGAGCTGAAAATTTACCACTTTTTCTTGAGCAAAATAACAACTAAGAATTTTTAAATAGAAGAAATTTTTTTTTGAAAATTTTATAGTGAAAATGTAATGTTTTCCATTTTGATGCTTTTTTGTCTTGAATTAATGGAAAAATTGTGGAGTTGTAAAAGTATTATTAAAGGAAATTATTATAATTATGTAAAAATTATTATTAAATGATGTTTTAACCCTCTTACCCTACTATTTAAATTTTTCATAAGAAGTTCTAATTATAATGATTTTGCATATACCAAATTTGTTCCAATTGATGATCACAGTTCATTTAATTTAGAAAAATTTCCAAAAGGACTTAATTTATTAAGAAATTTTTAAATAGAAAATTTTGTACTTAAATTAGGTTGTTAATTTAATTTAGGTCGTTAGATAATAGAAAATTAGGTTGTTTAGTCATTTTATTGCCTTTTTACTAGTGTTATAGCCTAATGATCTTTTATAATAATTTTATATTAATCAACCGTTTATAATTCATATGTAAAACAGTTTTAGTTCTGTCTTCATACTCAAAACTCAGAAGTTTATTAACTTTTATGTGTTATTCAAATATTAGTTCGATAAAATATGTCAACAATATTGCGACGCCAAGTTTTGAATTTTAGTCACGACTGCGGTAATTGAAAATTCTTGAAATTTTCATTTCAATTCTGCAATTCTAATTAGGAATTTAAATTATAAGGAAATTTTACTTTTTAAGGAACTCCAGGAAAAGTAATATTTAACTGAAGATAGAACAATTCCATCGTTGATAATAACACAACATTTGGAATGGAATTGCTGCACTCAATGTGATATTCTGGGAGGGAGCCTTTAAAAATTTTTGTTTTTCGTATAACAACTTGTATATGTGCTTGTGAGGGACATTTAAGTAGTATAATTTTTCAAATATGATTGTAATAATCTGCATTTTAAACAAAAATTCATTATTGACCTACTAAAAGTTTTTTTAACTAAATTTTTGCATGCTTTGTAAAACAACATCTAGGTGTGAACAACATGTTGAATGACCTTATATATTTAATCTAGAACTATTATTATAGAATTTTAAACCTCTTGAATTACAAATTTGCGGATATTTTTAAATGAATCCCCTTATTTGCTAAATTAGGAACGAGAATTAAATACAAATACCCTTTATTTAATAATTTAACAAAAAATTTAATTTTATAAATATAGTTATTCAATATTAAAAGAAAATAGTAAAAAACTTCACAATGTCTTACTAATACTGACATATCTAAGATGCATAATCTTTTGTTTAATCTTTTTCACCTTAATATTTTCTATATATGTACGTGCTAGACTAACATGGATGGCATGAATAATATTTTTATTTTTATATTTTAATATGAATGTCAAAAATTACAAAAGTCCGGAAATTTATGCTTACGTGCCTATCCCATAAATCCGGATATAAATGAATCAAAAGTCATTTACGAGCAAAACTAAAAAAAAAAAGAAACTAAAAACCTTTTAACAGAACAAAACCTCAAGAAACGAAATGTTCAAAAATATACGCGCTAGCGTAAAAAAAAAACGCAAAAAAATTCAACTGAAGGTTTTTTTTTCTCATATCGTGTAAAATTATTTTTAAGATTTTCATTTTATATTGTATGGGAAATGTTTGTAAAACATGCGAATTCTTGTACGTGTTAAAAGGATAACATCAAAAAAGAAAGCAAAAAAAAAAAAAATGGAAAAGAAAATTGAAGAAAATTCCGATTGTTTTTCTATGTATAAGGGAAAATTCTCTACCATATTAAAAACAAAGGACAAGCCTTAATTTCTTTATTCATAAATTTTATTGCCGTTTGTTTTTTTGGCGTTTCTAAAATTATGAATTTTTAAGTAAAAATTAGTAATTTTATGCAAATTCTAAAAGTATATGAAAAATTTTTTTAATGCAAATCTTACATGACACATTACGTAATTATGATTTTAAGGGTGGGCGCTACCTTCTTGTTTTACATCATGCTTTAAGAAGGAATGTAAATTAAATTTTTTATATGGTTTAATTATGAAAAAAATTTAATAGAGAGATTTTAAAAATTTGAGATGATTAAAAAAACAAAATGATGGTGTAATAAAGAAAAAATAAATAAATTTTTTTCATATTATGAAATTTAAATTGGTAAAGGATTCTCGTGTGAATATCTAAGAAAAATATTTGTTCATATATGTAAATTCGAATTTATGCAATGTCATCATAATTACAACCATATTACAGTCAAATTTCTATAATCAGAACTATTTAGAATGTCAGAAATCAGTTTTGAAATCAAGAAATATTACAGAAATAAACGCAATCTTAATATTTTTGAATGTTATGTTAAAATGAATGAATCTTCAAAGAGAAGTTCATGAATATTTAAGGAGTTCTGAATAATGAATTCTTAGTTGGAAATTGGATTGTATAGTTCAAATAAAAAAAAACTGCTAAGTCATATACCCTTTACAAATTTATTAATGAGCCTTGTAGCAAATTGCCAGTAAATTCCATGCGTTCATCCAAGCCATGTACCCTTTACAGTAAATTCCATGCGTTCCCTAAAAGTATGCAATTTTTTCCAATAATATAGTTATTTGTGTAAATTTTTCTTATAACAATCTACTGAATTGCTATCGTAGTCAATTCATTTCGCCGTAATATATGCAATTTTTTGAAATTGTAGCTATTGCATTTATGAAAAAAATAATTTTATTTTTTGAAAAGAATAATAAAAATAAATGATTTAATTTATAATATCCTGCCATTTTCTATTTTATTATTGAAATTTTATTCAAAAAAATATTAATTTGAAAAATATTTATATTTGAAAAATTTGTCCTCACATTTTATGCATACATACCATTCACTAGATTTATTTACAAAATTACATTATTTGGGTCTTATGTACATATCCCATTTAAAAAACAAAAAAAAAGAATATATAAACAAAAAACAATGACATTTACATCAATTTGTTATAAACTAGTAACAAAATAAAAATATTATATAGATAAATATTTCAATTTGTTAAAATAAATATAAATTTAAAAAAAAAAAATGAAAAAATAAATCAAAATGTTTACTATAAAAATGAAAAGCAAAAAATTTGCTACTTTACAAAATTTTGAAGCAAGCAAAATTTTGTTTCTGTCAACTTTATTATAACATGCTCAACTATAAATATAAGATTTACACCCAACCCTATAACAGTCAGAAATTAAAATATATAATGAATTTTAAATTAAAATATAGAATCGAGGTTTCGGAATTTCGCATCTGGAGTCAAGGCGTTTAAAGTGCAATATTGGAATAGATCAGTTGGGTTTTGAGGTAGTTTCTTAATTAGTGAGTCAACGAAGGGGTGTTGAAGTAGAATTCCCGCCATCTCGCAGAAAATCATCGAAGTCAATACATTTCAATTATAAATTTCAGCATCTTTGCCAAGAAGCCACTCCAGTTTAGGGTAATTGTCGAAATTTTGGATTCGGACACAGTTTAATAAACGGAGTGAAAAATTCAAGGATTATAAATTTTTTAAAAAATATTACTCATATATACCGGAGTCTGGGCAGAATTTTAACGTTTGTACGAGTATAAATGTGCCAAATGACATTATTAGCTGATTATGTCAATACGGTTATAAAGGGCTGTAGTTTTAAAAGACTTTTCTAAAATTTTCTAGATCACCTACATGTTGAAGCGAAACACGAATGTTTAAGAGATTGAACTATTATATTAGACCCAAAGCATGTTGGACTAAAAAAAATAGTATAATTATTTCACTTCCTATCAAAACCCTCTGCAGTTAATGGCCATCAAAAATTAACTGATTCCAGAAGTAAGGTAGGGTATTATTTACAATATAAACAAAATAAAAGGATTTACTCTTATTTTGATACAAAATTTCAGATAGTTCAATCAAATTTTTTTTTTGCCTTTTTCATGTTTCTTGTTAAACAAATACACATGTCAAAAAACTACCCACATATTCTCACTATATTCAAAAATATTTATGTATATATATATATATGTTTATGTATATTAATAATCTTATATACTATAATCTTACATACTATTCTGAATTCATATATAAATTTATAATATATACTTACTTTATACGATTATAAACTAACAATTCAGCAATATCACGTCCTAAACGAGAATAAGTTGTTTCAACAAATACCAAAACTTTTGGATCAATACGTAATCTAGCTTCAGATCGATGATCTGGTGTTTGTGCTGATACAATTTGTTTATTATTACCACCATTTAACATTCTACAATGTATTAAAGGTGCCGGTCTAGTATCACGATGAATCAATCTAGAAAAAAAAGAAAGAAAATCAAAAATGAGAGAAGGAGACAGAACAAAAAAGAAAGACAAAAAATTTTTATTGAAATTTTCATTTAAACTTTTCTTATTCTCTCTTCTTTCTTTTGTTATTGTTGTGATTTTTCTCTTCAAAAAGAAAAATAAATAAATAAATGAAGTAAATAATATTAAAGAAAATAAAAAGAGAGAGAGCAAGAAAAGAAAATTTTCTGATACAGAGTGAATTAAAGTTAAAGAAGAAACGGAAACTTTACTTTGATATTTTGATTGTATTAAGAAGGAAAAAGTTTTTTAATCTTTTTTCAAGTAAAAAAGAATAATTTTTTTTTTTTTTTTGAAAAATTTTTGCAATATCTTCTATATGAATTATTTTTAAAAAGAAAAATAAATCAAAAATGGCAATCATTAACAAGTTAAAAAGTTATATAAAGATTACATAAGTTTTTGAATCAAAACTCTCCTATACAGTATAACATTTGATTGTGTAAATTCGAAAAAATAGTTTGTAAATTTTGTTAAAAGATAAAAGGGTAAACTGTTGCTTTTATAATCATTTTTTTAGTCGAAAGCCATATAAGAAATATGGAAAACACAACACATATATTTGCAATATATTCCAAAAGGGTTATGAATGACATTCGGCTGACATTTGAAGGTTAAGAGAAGGATGGATGATCTTTTGAAATATTCAAAAAAATTTCATAGTTCTTTTAAGATTTCAAGACAAGAAAGTGGTAAGTAATTAGAATTAACTCAATAATATTATGACAAAAAAGAAATATTTGCCCTAAATTCTTCTTTTTTCCGACTGAAATGCATACCATAAACTCTGTATGTTTGCTTGTATGGCTATCAGTTTGACTGTATACGCTTGTGTGTACCTCATTTTTAGCTGAATTAACCAAAAATTTATATCTGAATTTACTATTAGAATGAAACGGTTTTGATCAATTTTTGAAAGATTTCAGGTCTTTGACTCTTACTCACGGGTCGATTTAAAAGTATTAACTAATTCTAAACATCATATTCGGGCAACACTTCAAGAATGCGGCCCGGTATTGTGGTGTTCACATCAAATTTTTGTTAAATTCAAATGGAATTTAACAAAAATTTCATGTGAAAAATCATTTGTTCACAAAAAGTCATTCGCACAGAAAGAGTTTGGTTCGTAATGGGTTAATCTTATTTTTTAATAATATTCGTATAATAGAATTGCTTATTCATTACGTGCATAAATATGACGTAATTTAAGTTGAAATCGGAACACAATGCTATAATTACATAAAGAGAATGTCATTGTAAAAGTCGATACCTAGGTGCATAAATACTTGCAGCATAAAAATATTAAGTTTAGTTTTAATGAACCTTTGCTTTTAATTTTTCTTTCTAAGTTCTTGTTTTTTTATGCTCATCAATTTCTTTTCCTCTTCTAGTTTTCTTTTTTCTCTTAATTTTATAGTAAAAGTTTTATTTTCTCCCAATTTTTTTTTTATTTTTCATAAACAAACACAAACGGAAGAGGAATGAACGGCGATATTCCGTCTTTATTCTTAATAAAGATGGGAAAAATTTTTTTTTTTTGATTTTTATCTCTTTCTTAAAAACTTAAAAATTGCTTTCGGCTTTCGTTTTAAACCGAAATATATAAGTGAATATGACGTGTTAGTGAGTGTGTTTCTTAGGAAGTAAAGGAAAAAACAACAAAAATGTGAATCACAAAAAAAAATTAATTTATTTACTATAATTACCTTAACGATGGAAAGACGGACTCAAATAATAAAATGGCGGCGGGTATATACGGTAGCATGGTATAAGAAGTGATGAGAAAAGAGAAAAATAACAGTAATGAAAAAGTAGCAAGTAAATGAGAATGAGAACAATCCAATTACAGTTTTGAGTTTTTATTTTTCTCTCTTTTCTTTATTGTGTAAATATAAATAAAAATTAATGATCTATTAATTAGATTTTCAGTTAAAAAGTATAGCAGAGTAAAAAAAAAAAATAACCAAAACAGAAAAAAAAAATGTTTTACAATTAAAAAAATAAAAACTCTAAAGGAAACTTTAAAAAACAAATAAACAAAAATGAAAGGAAGAGAAGAAATGAGAGAAAAAAAGAAACTTTTTAATTATACGGCCACAAGGAGGAGACTTTGGTCTGTAAATTCTGGTAACTAAGGTTACAATACAAAAAAAAAATAATAAATAATTTATTTTTTATTTTTATAGAAACCTCAAAGGAAAAGGCATTTAAAAAAAAAAAATTTTTTTTCCTGAAATTATTTAAGAAACCTAGAGATTATTTTGGTTATAAAAAATTCATGACGGTCATGAATGAACGGTCATTTGAATGTCAGTTTTCATCTTTTATATATACAGAGGGAATAGGACAACACAAATATAATTATTTTGAGAAATTATTCCAGAATTTTTTTGCGGAGGAACGCACACAAGTCTCAATAATGAATATTAATCAAATATTTATGGCTAGAAAATAATAAACACGAGTGATTTTCAAGTTCAAATTAAATATTTAGGATTTTCGGTGAAAATTTTTAAAAAATTATTAATGACATTGAAATTTTTAGAATATTTCATTGAAAAAATGACATTGAATATTTTAGAAAATTTCTTAATTTCTTAATAATAATTCTCATGACCCTCTACATTGTCAAAAAATTGAAAATTTTTTAAAATTTTGCAAAACGCTCTTCCTTGGGAAAAAATTGAAAATTTTTTAAAATTTTGCAAAACGCCCTTCCTTGACAAAAAATTGAAAATTTTTTAAAATTTTGCACGACCTTGTCAAAAATTTGAAAATTTTTTAAAATTTTGCCCCACCCCCTACCTTGTCAAAAAATTGAAAATTTTTTGAAATTTTGCACGACCCCCTTTTAGAAAATGAAAGTTTAGAACAAAAGGCCAATAACAGGAGAGTTGTAAGTACTAATTGGAATGTTGGTTAGTATAGATGGATGAGCCGTTCACTTTCAAGGGGAAATTCTCTTTTTCCAGCTTATTATTGGATCATTAATTTGACTTATCTGCAAAGCATTCTTCGTTAACACTTTTTTCCAAACAACTCACCAGATATAACAGTTTTGAAATCAGCTTGATAGACTAATTTTAAAATTGACGAATTTTTTTATACTAACGTATCGTATATTACAATTTTCATGTGATGTTAAAACTGAAATATTTCAATTTATCACTTATAGCCTTAACTATATTGTCTTAACTAACAAAATTTTTTGCGGTGTGATTGTAATGATATTGAAATTTCTATCACATTTCTCAATTATGCCATCAAGAATACTACAATATTTTAAACCTGTCTCAGTCTCTATTCAGTCTCTGTTCCTATATATACATAAGGGAAATAAGACTCGTAACGTCCGATCTTAGACAGTAAGTTGCAAGCTTCTATTTGCTTATTTTTAAACACTAAAATTTTAATTTTTCTTTCTCTCCATACTGCATCAATTTTAAATTATAAGCTTATTGCACCCAAATACAAAACTTATTCAGAATTTTTAAATAAAATTTCAATATTTCACTTTCTACATTAAAGCGACATTACAATATTTGCCTCAGTTAATAGGTCAGTGCATAAATATTTTCTTTTATTATTCAGAAAATATTGTCAAAATAGACAATAAAAGAAAAACATGAAAATTTCTAAAAGAAAACAAAAAAAAAATTTCGACATTTTTCATTCCCAATTTACACGATTATTCCCCCATTAGGGTAATCATTACTGCCTACATATTGGAAACGAAGACAAAAAAAAAGGATATTTTTGTTTTCTTTTATTTTTCGCCGCTATATACTCAAAAAAAAATATACACAAACTTGGTAATTATTCATGACCCAAATATTTTATACAAAAAAAAATTTTCTCATGTTTGTTTTTTTTTTCGTTTTTTTAGGTTCCTCTTGAATTAAAATTCATTTCATTGAAAAAAAAATTTATTATGTATGGAATGTTGCAAAACAAGAAATAGAAAATATAAGTGAAAAAATAAACCAACAAAATACACAGTTATTGAAAATTATGAACAGAAAATGAACCGAGGATATGAAAATTATTGCTGTTTATGTTAAAAAAAAACACAAAACAAAATGGGGGAAAAATATAGCATGGAATAAGTAATTGTTTATACATTTTAATAGAATTGGCGCATTATAAATGCTGCTTATTATGGAAAATAGAATATTATTTTATTTATTTATTTATTCAAATGACAATTATGGGATACTACTGTACAAAAGAACAATAAAATTGGTTCTATACTATTAAAGCAAAGGATTTAATTTAGAGAAATTGAGCGAAATTATTCAGAGGTTGGTGAGGATAAATGTGCGAGAGGTTGGTGAAGATGAATGTGAAAGAAATTAAAATTTAATTACAAAGTGGATTTGGGACCTGATTAGCATACCACTAGGCGCTCTACTTAATATAAGATGTATAAAACTTTTATTAGAGTTTCCTCGAATTGTGAAATTAATTGTCGAATTAGGCTAAGTCATGATTTTCATTCAGATTCAAGTCCAGTTTCTAAAGATATCGGCCTTGGTCAGGAAAATCGATCTATAACCTTTTTACAAGGATATGCTGGTCATGCTTGGTCGTCTAGGTTTGAGGTTATTGGTGGGTGTCCTTACTGGGCACTGCCTCTTGATGGTCCCTCTGAAAAGAATGGGCAGGACGGAGGACTTGGTCTGTTGTTTGTGCCTGGAGGAAGACGAAACGATGGAACATTCTTTATGTGATTGCGAGGCAATTGCTCGCCTTTGACTGGGGTGCCTCAGGGGGGGGGGGGGGCTTTATGACCCTGTGGAAGATCTCACGGCTTCTATATTGCGGTTTGTCATGGGCCTCTGGATATAGGACTAATGTAGATGGGGATGAGAATCACAAAATATCCTATGTATTGTTTTATAATATGTCAGTTGAACATGGACAATGTTAGATAGCTATGAGCATTTC